AAGCACCTACTTAGAACAAACTAAGCCAAGCAAAGCACAGGGACCGCGGTTCAATCCCCCAGCACCACATGCCAGCCTGCCCCGCCCCCTGGTGGGCTGAGCTGGCCACACACACAAAATAAATAAATAAATAAAAATTAAAAAAAAAGATAGATGTGTGGACTCTGTTGTCCTAAAAAGGGCAAAGTCATAAAGTAGCTGCTGATAATAAATGTTTGAAAGAGGAACTATGGTTGTTTGGTATCATGTTCTATTTTGGTTTGGACTCATAGAACTAGGCTAATTTGTATGGCAGAAGTAAGAATTATAAAAGAAACATGTTGGATATAGTTTGGTTAGAGTCACAGACACAGGTCCCTTTTATTTTCTCCTGTTGCAGTGTCGATACACCTTGCAGTATACCTATCCGTATGCATACTACATGGAGTCTGGCCCCAGGAAGAAGCTGGTAAGGAAAGCAGTCCTCCATTCTGTTTTGTATCATCTGAGGTAATACCCCTGTTATTATCACTTTGTAGGAGAGCAGAGACCTACCCTTGGTCATTGGGAGGGTAAAATCAAAACTCTCTAGCAGGATATGATGTAATGCCTATAATCCCAGCTTCTAGGGAGGCAGAAGCAGGATTACTAGTTGAACACTAGCCTGGACATTTAGTGAGATGGTATCTCAAAAAGGGTTGAGGGTATCTGTGATTTAATTCAGGGGTATAGTACTTGCCTAGCTCATGTGAGGCTCTGGATCCAGTTTCCAATACTGCAAAAAAGAAAAAGAACCTGTCTAATTGCAAGATTCTGTTTCTACCCTGGGCATCTCCGAAATAGATCTCTCCAAAATAGTGGAAGACCCACAAAAGTGAGTCCATGAAAGTTCAGCCACAAAGTAACAGACTACTGTACTGTCATTTTGTTTCATAGGCTGCAGATTCACCTCAGCCCCTAAACAATGTTTTGGTTTGGTTTTTTTGGCGGAACCAGGGACTGAAATCAGTCCCTTGCACTTGCCAAGCAAGCGCTGAGCCATCTCCCCGGCCCCAACAATGTTGTTTAAAGCACAGTTGGTTGAAACAACTTTGACCACTTGGAAGGCCAGTATTAACTGCTGGGAGTTTATTGAACATGCATGGCTCTAAGATGCAGTTAATTTTTTCCCCTAGGAGTGCTGGAGATTGAACCCATTGCCTTTAGACTCAGTTACTATCCCAGCCCTTTTTAAAATGTATTTATTTATCTATAAATTTTTTTGAGACAGGTTCTTTCTAAATCACGTAGGTTAGTCTCAAAGTTAAAATCCTCATGCCTCAGCTTCTGGGATGGTTGAGATTACGGGTATGTGGCACCACACCAAGATATGGTTAACTTTTTTATACCTTTAATCCTTCGTTTTAGGTATGGGTTGTTTCCTACTGATGTTAAAGTAATTCATATTTATTGTTTAGATGTTGGAAAATATAGAAAAGCATTTATATCATCTGTAATCCTACCAGAAGGAAATAACTATTCTTAGCATTGTACAGACTTTTTGTTTTTGTCTTTTTGAGACAGGGTCTCACTATGTAGTTCAGACTGGCCTTTAGTTCACTTTGTAGCCCAGGCTGATCTTGAAATTGCAACAATCCTCTTGCCTCAGCCTCCCTCCCAAGTGCTAGGATTATAGATGTGCACCACCACCACGCTAGACTTTTCTTTTTATTTGTTTTTTTAAGATATGGTTGTTTTGTTTTCTTTTCTTTTGTGGGACCGGGGATTGAAGTCAGGACCCTGCACTTGCCAGGCAAGTGGAGATAGGGTTTTGATTTGTGGTTCAGGCTGGTTAAACTCTGTGGTGATACTCCTATCTCAGCTCCCCAAATCATGAGATTTAGACATGTTCCACCACACCTGGATTAGAATTGTTTTCTACAGTGGCTTTACATTCTTCTCCTAGGGCTGGAAATATAGCTTGGTGGCACAAGCAACTGTGTGGTAAACACAGTGTCCTGAGTTGAATAACAAATAAAGAAACAAAAAAATATATTCTTCTCCTTTCCTTGGCGGCAGATGGCAACTGTGACCTTGCCAGTTTTGTTTGGATCTTATTTTCTGACTCTAGGCATAGGGAACAGTGTTTTCCCTGAGGACAGTGTCAGGACTGTGTGTAGCTCATTTGAGCCTGAGATGCTGCATATATAGCCCCTCTATCTGTTGGCCTACAGCCCCGTCTCCTTTTGACCTTTCTGTTCTGCCCATACAGTTTGAATACCAGCAGGCTCAGCTGGAAGCTGAAATCGAAAACCTCTCATGGAAAGTAGAGCGTGCAGACAGCTATGACAGAGGGGTAAGTGCCAGTTCTTCTCTGGCAGGTAAGAGAGGACTGGCATGGTAATAAGTGTCAGGGTGTTGGCATGTAAATTGGAAGCTGCTACTGCTGGATTCCTTGTAGCCCCTGGCATGGTACATGTGACTTTCATTTTTCCCTGTTCCTGACACTGATTCATGCAACCACTATCTTGCTTCCCTTTTATAGGACTTGGAGAACCAGATGCACATAGCAGAACAGCGAAGGAGAACCCTGCTAAAAGATTTCCACGATACTTAAATCAGAATGTGGATGTGCTGGGGTGAAGATGTGGCTGCGAGGTCTCCCAGCTGCCATACTGCATGTTGCAGGCTCTACCTTTCATGACCCAGGTTGCAACTAGGGCCCCACTCCTGAGAGACGCTGGCAACACATCTCTTAGTTGATTTCTGTTTTCTTCTCATCTTTTGCTTTTTGTTTCTACCAGGGTAGAGGCCATGTTGAATTGACCTCTTTTTAGGACTTTTAATTCCCCCTGGATGATTGTTGGGAGGGAGGGAATTTTTTTCTGAATGGCTATTAATAGAATTAGATCATTACAACTTATGTAATTTTCAAAGGTTGTATAATTATACCAAAAAAAAAAAAAAAAAAGGCAAACCATAAAATAACGTGACACCATTTTTAAAAATAAATTGGCATTGGAGTGTTTTCACCTCTAGCTATTTTATTTAGAATGTAACATACACTGCCCACCCACCCTGCCTCACAAAGTCTGTACTGCCATGGGCCTCAGAGTGGCCTCTGCTTTCCAGCTTCATGTGTTTGGCCACAGCTGGAGTCTTAAAGGAGGAGCATGGGTGGCAAATGTTGGGACTAAGTTGGCCTGTGTAACAGGCATGGGGTACAGGGAATCACATTGTGCCTCCTGCCTTTCCTGGGCAATAAAGAGACAGAACAGTCTTCTTTCTGTAGGCTTATCTTTGTTCTTGAAAGTAGAGGTTACCTGGGTCTGGCTACTGAGGCTTGGACCCATAGCAGGTTATAGGTGGACTTGTGGCTCTCTAGACTAGGGGACAGTGGTTCAGCATGGTGCTTCCTTTTGTCTCCTCAAGATATACATCCAGTTTTGAAGAGAATTATTGTCCAAAGTAAGTTTGCTATATCTTTATCTCTCCTTTTGTGCCAGTGTTCAAGTGGTATAACTCTGACCAGGGTTACATGCAGCCCTGACAGTCTGGCTGCACTCCTCATAAATACCACTCAGAGTTCAGCATGGGCCTCCTAAAGGCATTGGCTTTTGACCCAGGGCCTAGGGTTGCACAAGTTTTTCTGTTAAAAGTGGCAAGTCGGGGTTGGGGAGATGGCTTAGTGGAATAAGCGCTTCCCAGCAAGTGCAAGGGCCTGAGTTCAATCCCCGGTTCCGCCAAAAAAAAAAAAGTGGCAAGTCCAGCACATGGGCTAGAGTATGCCTCCCTCACCTGGTTCCATCTTCTAGAAGACCCAACCTTGATACTCTGGGAGCCTTGAGACTAGATTACTTTGTGGTCCCAATTCCTATAATAGGGGAGACTGGCTGGAGAAAGGAACAGGTTTTTTTGTTTTTGTTCTTGGTCATTGTGAAATAGAGGTTCACTATGCAATTCAGGCTGGCTTCAAATTCATGGTGATCCTCCTGCAACAACCTCTCACGTGCTGGGATTACAGGCCTACACCACCATGCTTGGTTTTGTACAGTCAAGTACAAGGGAGCAAGTAATTTTCCTGATGTCCCATCTGTCTTGAACTGGGTCCTATGAGCCTTTCAAAAGTTTGATCTATGATCTCTGGGAGTTTTGTGGTTTTGTTTAGTATCTACACTTTGAGATTGGTAGAACTGTGTGCTAGACAGGCTTCCTTGACATCTTGGAGAACCTATAGAAAAATCTGTGAATATTATAGGGGAAGTTCTGTGGTACTCTCACATTTTCACCTCTAGTCAGCAGTTTCCCAGGTACAATGCAAGGTATAAAACTGAGTTATTCTTGAAGACAGCTGTAACTCTCAAGAGGCATGCTGGTTGCAGGTTTCTTTTATTCCCCTCAGGTTTTGTCTCTTCATGTAGTCCCCAACAAGGGAGGAACTGTGGGATGGATTGGCAGAGCAAGTTCAGAATATGGCACCTGAGCCTAGCATGGGACACTGGAGAGCTAACTGTGAACAAAGCTCCTGCTGCAGGGCCCTGAGTCAATATGTGAATGAACGCGGAATATCTTGGCATCCAGAGCCCGTACCTCTCCATGGAGTCCTTTCTGTGGTATTGCCATGGTACAGCTCTGCACATGAAATCACATCACATCTTGGATGTTTCTGGACTGCAAGGCTGCCGTCTTCTGTTCTTACATCCAGCTGTGACCCTGATCACTGGCATTGCCAGGTATGCTGTATCCAGATTCTAGCCCATAATGCTTGACCTGTGGAGAGCTTCCTTTTGTGCCTCCTCACTGGATGTCCTTTGTGAACATTATCAGGAAGATGGGAAAGGTCAGGCACAGGTTTTGGTTTTTTTGGGGGGTTTTTTACCCTGCAAAAGGGTAGAAGAGAGACACATGTTTAATGAACTTATCTGTTTTTCTTCAAAGAAAAGGTTAAGGAAATGTCATTGCTCAAAGTTGAGTGGTTTATTAAAAATAAACTTAAGTTTCTGATTATAAAAATATGCGTAGTCTTTCTTTAAATGGCCTAAGTAGGGCTGGTGAGATGGCTCAGTGGTCTAAAGCACCTATTTATACTTAGAACAAGCTTAGCAAAGCACAGGGACCGCGGTTCAATCCCCCAGCACCACATGCCAGCCAGCCTCGCCCCCTGGTGAGCTGAGCTCCCCCCCACACACATATAAATAAATAAAATAAATAAATAAATAAATAAAATTTAAAAGAAAAAAATAAATGGCCTAAGTAACACTGTGAGCACCTTGCAGAGTCTGTCCATTGAGCACCAGATGAGGACCTTCCTGTCATTCATCCCTCTCATCCACAAGCCACACTCAGCTCTGTTTTTCTTCCTTTTCTGGTTGTCTGGGGAGCACTTGTCTGTGGTGCTCACAGAAGGAAGTAGTTTTATCCCTCCTTTTATTGGGTACAGGCTAACAGGGCAGACTTCTGGGGCCTTACAAAACATGTAGAAATATGACAGGGATCCTGGCTTTATGGGCCTTGAGGGTTATAGTGACAACTCAGAAACTGATGTGTATTTGTGGTTGCTTGGTTTGATTTGTGGATTATCAGCCAGTGCTAACTAGAGAAACATTTCATATACGATATATAAACATAAGAATTTATAAGCTTGGCTTATAGTGGCCCCTCATGGAATCAGGTATGGAAGTGTGCTGTCTATGTGCTGGGGATCTGGAGGATCCAGTCAAATGCTTGGAGCTGAGTGCAGTGAGTCAGGAGGCTGAAGGGTCTTTAATGAACAGACTGAAGGGTTCATACTGGAATCTGCACTTTAAGCTAGGAGTTGACATCTGAGGTGAAGAAAAGACAAGCTCCTCCAATGAACGCAGCAGTGAGCTTTCTTTATTTCCTTTTTATACCAGTCTGGCAGTAACCCTAGGGTGAGTCTTCCACATACAGACCATTCTAAGTCCGTTTAGTTGGGCATTAGTCACTTCAGTTGACACAATCTTCACAGTGGTACTGGGGACCTTCCGACTGAACAACATCCCCATCTCTTCACATATTTTATGACAGGATCTTATTGTCATTTAGTTGCTAGGCTGGGTTTGAACTTCTAGTCCTCCTATTTTGGTCTCTCAGAGTGCTAGGATTACAAATAAATCTGACAACCTAGCTACAAACAAGTATTTGAAGTCTAATCCCAAGAGTGAAGAATGGGGATTAGGCTTTGGGCTCTGTTTGAAGCTCTGTATTGTGTTTGGAGATGTGGCAAGCCTGGACTACACAGTGAGACCCTCTCTCAAAAAAAAAAACACAGATACTCCACAGCTGCTTGTTTTTGAGCCTCAGGTATGCCAAGTGGATGGTCAGCACCGGAGTACGTGTAGTGTTGAAAAGGTCATATGATGGTGACACCTATAATCCCAGCACACTGGAGGCTGAGACAGGAGGATTGTTGAGAGTTTGAGACCAGCCTGGACTACAGAGTAAGCTCAAGACCACCCTGAATTGCACAACAAGACCCTGTCTCAGAAAAGACTAAAACAAGCAAAGACCAAGCTTTCAGTCTAAGGACACATAGAACTGGTCATTAGTCCCTAAGCACAGAGTCACCCCTGCAGTTCACAGGGCAGGCACAGTAGTGTGGCCATTTGGACTATACCTATGGTGATTCTCAGACCAGGAGACAGCACACAATACAAAGTCTGGAGGAGGGACTGCCCTAATAGCCCAGCAGTCAGTGTATGTTACATCCTATTTTGCCTACAGGATACCAGTGCTGTAGTAGTACAGTCCCGTAATTGCAGCACTTGGGGAGGCTGAGGCAGGAGGTTCCCCTTGAGTTTGAGGCCCTCCTGAACTACAAGCAAGACTCTGTCTCAAAAAAATAATTTGCCAGGCTTGAAAACAGAGTCAGGATCAGAAGTCTGAACTACATAGTGGGACCTTGCACAAAATACATTTAAAGGGGGCTGGGGAGATGGCTCAGTAGAATAAGTGGTTTCCTGGCAAACGCAAGAGCCTGAGTTCTATTCCCAGTTCTGAAAAAAAAAAAATGCCCAAGGGCAACACTTATAAGTAAATGGCCAAAAATAAATGAAGTTTGCTTTTAGAAACTAAAAAGGAAGTTATTGCAATACAGATTAAAACATACGTGTACAGGGACTAGATTTGGCAGTATATATCCATAGAGATGGTACCTGTCCTGACACCTCCACACCCAAAGGTTTTAGCTCAAGCAATTCTCATTTATGCTGTGTAAAATTCCTACAACTGCCAGCAGGTGGGGCAGAAATGAGAGGCAGGCCCTGGAAGCTTGCTTACCTTCTGTTGTCTGGAGGTGAGTTGGCAGATAAGCCCCAGTGCTGGCAGCAGGTATGATTCAGCTGAATATAGGTCAGAGGTAGAAGAAGGAATTCAAGAGAATAAGTTAAAGGAAATACTTTGTGATGAACTAATTACACTTTTGTAAAGACTAGTGGAGAATAGTATCTACATTTATTCATTGGAACCCAAAAACCATGAGATTGTTGGTAAAATTCTGTTTCTGTTGGATGACATCAGCAGTTTAGAGCTAGACAGTTAAGTAAGACTACCAACAATAACTAGTCATAAAACGAATAACACTCAAGAATTATTCTTTTTTTTTTTTTTTTTTGGTGGAATGGGATTGAACTCAGGTCCTTGGTGCTTGCCAGGGAAGCGCTTATTCCACTGAGCCACCTCCCCAGCCCCCTCAAGAATTATTCTAAAGATACTATGTTTCTAAAGTTTTTTGTATGGAATCAAAATTTCAATGATTAGGGGCTGGGGAGACGGCTCAGTAAAGTTAGTGCTTTCCTGGAAAGCGCAAGGGCCTGAGTCCTGGGGGGAAAAAAAAGAATTTCAAAGATAAATAAAATTCAAAAAAATTTTTTTCAAAAATGTTTGTTATGGAGCTGGTGAGATGGCTCAGTGGTCTAAAGCACCTACTTAGAACAAGCTAAGCAAAGCACAGGGACCGCAGTTCAATCCCCAGCACCACATGCCAGCCAGCCCCGCCCCCTGGTGGGCTGAGCTGGCCACACACACACACACACACACACACAAAATAAATAAATAAAATTAAAAAAAAATGTTTGTTATATTGCAGTGTTGTCTTCAAAGTAGTTGTTCAGGGCTGGTGAGATGGCTCAGTGTTCTAAAGCACCTACTTAGAACAAGCTAAGCCAAGCAAAGCACAGGGACCCGCGGTTCAATCCCCCAGCACCACATGCCAATCAGCCCCGCCTCCTGGTGGGCTGAGCTGGCCACACACACACTAAATAAATAAATAAAAATCTAAAATCATATTTATAAAAAAAAAAGTAGTTGTTCAGATTACCAGATTGACCATTTAAAATTGGTCAAAAGAAATTAAGCAGTAACTCTTGCTTTCAATAAACCAATAGAAATTAGTAGTACAAAAAAAGAAAAAGAAAAATCATACTGTGATACAAACCTGTAATTCCAGTGCTAGGAACACTAACACAGAAGGAGCACAGGTTCAAAGCCAGGCTAGACTATGTGGTAAGACCCTAAATCAACCAAATGAAAGTTGAGACTTCTACCTAGGTGAATTAAAAGACAAGCATGGTGACACACTACTGCATCCCAGCACTCTGGGAAGGCTGAGGCAGGAAGATCGTAAGTTTGAGCCCAGTCTGTGCAATTTAGCAGCCTATGTCCAAACTAAAGATCTGGGGATATTGCTAAAGAAAAAGGCCTAGATTCAGCCTCTAGTATGGAGTGGGGTGGGAAGGAGCAGTTACAGGAAATGTGAACTGTCTTAAACTAAAACTAGTAATAGTTTTATCTACTTGAATCAATTGCATTTTTTAGAATTCATTGTAAGGGGAAGAGATCAGGTCCTTTTCTCTGCCTCCTAATGTGTACACACACACACACACACACACACACACACACACACACAAATTTTAGTTTCCACTCCACCTGATGGTAGTGATAGTTAGCTTCCAAGCTTTGGCAAAGTCACAATAGCCCCCATTGCTATCTACTTCCCTCTGTCCCAGCAAAGTTCAGACACTCCTTTTGTGGGACAGGAAGATCAACAAAGAGGTTCCTATGGGTGGCTAGGTTAGTGGAAATGTAACTGGCACTTCAAGGCAAAAAACCCTGTTTATGGAAGTCTAACAGACCATGTTCCGCTACTTATTTCAAAATGCCACTTAAGGCCAGTGGTAAAGAAAAAGGAAAAAGCTTTATTAGCATGACTATAGAGGGGCTGAGGAGATGGCTCAGTAGAATAAGCGCTTCCTTGGCAAGTGCCAGGGCCTGAGCTCAGTCTCCAGTTCTGCAAAACAAAAAAAAACAAAACCTCCCCCCCAAAACAAACAAACAAAACAGTCCTCTATTTATGCAGATAATGACTATAGAGATTCCGGGGGGCCAGGAAGGTGGCTCAGTAAGATAAGCACTTGACTGGCAAATGCAAGGATCTGAGTTCAATCCCCGGTTCCACAAAAAAAAAAAAAAAAAATGACTATAGAGATTCCCAATCTGGCAGAAACCTTGGAGTTTTATAGGAAGAGTTAACAAAGACAAGAGTGGGGTTGCCAGGGAGATGGCTCAGTAGAATAAGCACTTTCTTGGCATGCACAGGGGCCTGAGTTCAGTCCCTGGTTTTGCCCAAAAAAAAAAAAAAAAAAAAAAAAAGTTTGGGGTCTGTACAGGTGAATGGGCTGGGGGCGCCGGAATGGCAGGTTAGGCAATCCTGTCAAGTGGTATCCCAGGACTGTTTCTGCAGGTTTTAGGAGAGCCATCATTGCTTGAGAGGACAATTCATTTCCCCTTCTGAGATGAGAGCACCCGCTTTCTCATTTTGGGCTGGTGTGACACTGCTACTGCTGAACAGAAGATGACAGGGCATTGATCAAAGAATTACAGGCATCACACACCATGGGGTCCAGAATAGGATGCTGTAGAAAGCTGGCAACTGGGTGTCCCTGCAAATCCTGATTAGACGTATCTTGGCATCCTGAGTCTTGAAGGACAATAAGATACACTACATACATTTAGGACTAATAAACCTTGTAATTCATACTCTCAGAGGAGTAACATGCCTACATGCAGAGCTGAGCTGAGATCTGACCTAGAGAGTGTCTGTTGATTTGATTTGTTTGAGACAGTCTCACTATAGTTCAGGCTGGCCTTAAATTCACAGGTAGCCTAGGCTGGTCTCAATCCTGCCTAAGCCTTCCAAATGCTGGAACTGTAGGTATCAGACACCTGGCCTGACCCAGAATGTTAAATTATAAAGGAGACATAAAATGTAAGCAAAGATCCCAAAGTCCACACTGCTTTGAACTTCTCATTGGGCATCTGGAGGCTCGGCCTTTTAGGCCCATTACAGAAGCACACATGAGGTGCACTGGTTTTCTGTAACAGGTGAGGAAGGAGGTGGGCCTACCCAAGAAGAAGGGAAAATGCAGCAGCAATTGTATCACTCCTGAGACTAACCCAGCCCTAGGAGGGCAGAAAGCACAAAGATATCTTGGCTCTTGGCCGTCTGTTTGTCCTCCTTCCTCATTTTTGGTGGTCATCTGAATTTGCTTTTCCTCTGAACGGGTCGCGTCTCAATTGAAAAAGCACCCCTTCCTCTCAAGTACTCTGCACACAGCACCTGCTGCATTGTTGCGGGTGCCGGCGAGGGCACTCACCTCCCGGTTTCAAGGGCTCTTATAGTGCCCTGCACAACAAGCAGCTGCTTTTCAATGGCCGAATTCGGGCTGGACTCCTGGAGAGGCGCCTGACCGGCCTCAAATGCCTGCCCGAAGGTCGTGGGTCCTGCAGCACCACCACTGCATAGTCTGCCGCTGCAGCACTGAGTCATCGACGAGGGCTGCCATCGGCTGCGGCTCCCTCCCTCCGCCTCTATTGTGTGCTGCTGGTAGGAGGCGAGGGGCATCTCAGCCCGGACAGCAGCTACCACCGGGGCTGCTGGCTGCCCTTTTGGTACTGTCTTGTCTGGGTCTCTATGTAGGGGCGGCTTCTGCCTAGACAAGAGGATAGCTCCCCCTGCCACCGGGCTCCGGAAGAAGTTCCAGCAGGCGGGTCCCAGGCGCTGGCTGGGAGCCGGCCTCCGGCCTCGCGGTGCGCGTCCCGGACAGTCCCAGCGACTGCGCAGCGCAAGCCCCGCGGCCCCTCCCCCGGGCGCGCGCGACCTGGGCGCCATGGCGGCGGCGGCCACTGTCCCACGGCCTGGAGCCGGGGAGGCCGTGGAGGCCGTGAGTCTGCAGTGGGCGCCTCCTGAACCCCGCGAGGTCGCGGTTGGGACCAGGCCAGGTGACAAAGAGGACTCGAGGGTGCGGCCTCTGTGCAAGCCCCGCGGCATCTGCTCGCGCGCCTACTTCCTGGTGTTGATGGTGTTCGTGCACCTGTACCTGGGCAATGTGCTTGCGCTGCTGCTATTCGTGCACTACAGCAACGGCGACGAGAGCACCGAGCCCGGACCCCCGCACAGACCCCCTGGCCCTCTGACGGCTCCAACCTTGGGCCCCCTCACCCGGCTGGAAGGCATCAAGGTAAGGAATCCCCCCCCACCCCAACTACCACCACCTTGCTCTAGGCCTCCTGCAGCCGCACCCCACCACAGCCTGAGCTGTGTACCTTTCCTTCAGGTGGGGTACGAGCGCAAAGTACAGCTGGTCACCGGCACGGAGCACATCATTCGAACCCTCAGCCTCAAGCCGCTGCTCTTTGGTAAGTCCACCAATTGCCTCCTAAGAAGGGCCAGGGGCTGCGCTGGCCATCTGAGGTCCCTTTGGACCACATGCTTTCTGTTTTGAAGAGGGCTGCTTCAAAGTAGCCTGCCGCCACCAAAGTAAGGTAGCATACTGCCCTCTCACAGCCAGCATACCTGCAGCAGACTTATCGAATAGGGCTGCACAATGCAGTCCTGAGAGTTTTTCACGCCAGCACTAATTCTGTCACCTTCTAGAATAAGGAGAGGTTAGGAGGAACAGCAGAGCATCAGCTGATATCAGGCTTCTGGGAGAAATTGCACTCCCATTTTAAAACTGTAGTATTTTTATTTTGAGACAGGATCTCACTATATAGTTCATCATTCAGAGAGACCTTGAATGAACTATGTAGACCAGGCTGGCCTCTAATTCTTTTTTTTTTTTTTAATTTTAGAGAAGGGTCTACAGGGTGTTCAGGGCCTCACTACTAGATCGGACTCATAGTGATCTGCCTGTTTACAGCCTCCCAAGAGCTGGGATTACAGGTGCAGGCCACCATGCCCAGCCCAGTCTCAATGGCCCCTCAGGGTGCCCCTGGGGGTGGGGCCACCCCAGCACAGCAGGCCAGGGGATAAAACCCCTGGGCCCTGCGCCTATTTGCAGGCGCTTTAATCCGCTGAGTTATTTGGCCAGCCCTGACCTGTAATTCTTAAGTGATCATCCTGGCTCAGCTTTCCAAGTGCTGGGATTAAGGGCACATGCCACTGCACCTGGTAGGAAATCACACTCCCAAAGTGGACCCTGTTATGTATGAGAACCAGGCTATCCAAATATGGATATGAGGCCGGGGAGATGGCTTAGTGGAATAAGCACTTCCCTGGCAAGTGCAAGGGCCTGACTTCAATCCCTGGCTCTGGAAAATAAATAAATAAATAAATAAATAAATAAATAAAAAATAGATAGATAGATAGATAGATAGATAGATAGATACACTGGACCCACTCTGCCATGGTACCTGGCAGGCCCAACCTTTGCCAAAACTCTGAGATTTTTCTTAGGAGTCTTTTATTTGTTTTTATGGGGGTTTGAATATTTTTTGTTTGTTTGCTTCCTTGCTTGCTTTGTTGCTTTGTTTTCTTTCTTGTCTTTTTGAGACAGGGTCTCACTTTGCAGTTCAGACTGGACTTGAGCTCATTTTCTAGCCCAGGCTAGTCTTTTTTTTTTGGTTCCTCGAATGCCTTCAGGGCACTTTTGGCCAGCTGGAGAGGTGTGAGGTCGAACTCCAGCAACCTGAGGCTGACAGCTTTGTGGAAGCAGCCACTTAAAGGCCTGAGCTACGGCCAGGGCCCACCCCCCCCCAGGCTAGTGTTGAACTCACAACATCCTCTGCCTCAGCCTCCAAAGAGCTGAGATTACAGGTGTGGGCCATCACACCCCACCCTGTTTTTTTTTGTTGTTGTTGTTTTTGCGGAACCCGGAATTGAACTCAGGCCCTTGAGCTTGCCAGGCAAGCGCTTATTCCACTGAGCCATCTCCCCAGCCCCACCCTGTTTGTTTTTGAAATAGAGTCTTACTGTGTAATCCAGGCTGGCCTCAAAATCACTGTACTCTTGTCTCAGCTTTCCACGTGCTGGGATGACAGGCATGCATCACTGTCTGGCAGGATTCTCCTTTTGACTGAGTGTTGTAAGTAGAATCCTTTCAGGGTGATCCCACTTTGAGCTGCATCATGGTTCGTGTTCCTAGGTTCCTGTTACATGATGGGCTTCATGTGATTAAATAAACACCCCTGTGAGGTGGAAGTTGATCTTACCCTCAAGCCAGTGGGTGACAAAGTGAGGCACAGAAAGCCATAGTGGCTTGGCCAGGTTCATATAGTAGTTCAGTGGTGACCCAAGGATTAGGATGCAGGCACTTAAAAGCCACAATGATAGAGCCTGCACATAAAAGCCACACTGAGAGTGTGCAAACTCTAAAGTCCCCCAAAGACTGTTGTCAACAAGGGGTTGGGCAGACCCACAGACCTTACCCAGGTTAAATTTGTGCAGCCCCATCCCAGGTAGCTAGTGCCAGTGACACATATTTGAAGACCCGGATAGTCCCAGGCTGCTGAGATGAAAATTACAGTTTTTATTTATTTTTTTTTTTTGGGCGGGGGGCTCTCAGGATGCCTACAGGACAGGTCTGGTTTGGCCTGAGAATGAGAGGATCGAACCACAGCATCCTGAGTCTGACTGCTTTGTTTCAGCAGGCACTTAAACACCTGAGCTAATGGGCAGGCCCCCCAAAATTACAGTTTTTAAAAAAGGTTTAGGAGGGGCTGGGGAGATACCTCAGTAGAATAAACACTTGCCTGGCAAGTGCAAGGGCCTGAGTTCAATGCCCGGTTCCACCAAAAAAAATTAAAATAAAAAAGGTTTAGGGGACTGAGGATGTGACTTCCTGGGAGTGTGCTTGCCTAGCATGCATGAGGGCTTGGGTTTAATCCCTATTGCTGGAGGCGGGGGGAGGATGGAGCTGGTTGGGAATTATGGCAAGACCTATAAGAAAGCCACATGCCTGCTATTTATAGGGAATTAGGGTATGTTGTTTGTGCTGTTGTGAAAAGGGCCCTAAAAGATGCTAGAGGTTGTTACTAACACTGGTAAATAACAGAGTCTATGCCAGGCCTCATTTCAGGTGCTAGCGACACAGCAATGATCACAAAAGAAAGATAACCCAACAAAATAAAACTCCTAAACTGGCATTCAAGTACAATAAATAAACAAACAGCCAAATATAAATGGGGCATCAGGTGGTGATACTGGGTTTGCTGAAGACCTATAGGAAGAACAGGATCAAGCTGGTGGCTCAGGGAAGGATGATCTGGGCCAAAGGAATGGCAGTCAACCCATTACTACCATGCTGCTGCGAATAGGCCCACTGAGAAGATTGTGTTTCATCTGCCTCCCTGGGACCTATACCTATCTAATTCAAACGTGTGCTAGCTTATAACAAACACAAGGTCAAAGTCTTTCTATATTCAGTTGTCCTATAAGGTAAAGAATAAGAAACCCAGGCCTGAATGTCTTTTTATTTATTTTTTTAAAAAAAAAATTATTTATTTTTTTTAATGTCTTAAGAGTAACAACAACAACAAAGTAAATAACAAGAAGCAGGAGAGATTTGACAATGGGTAAACTGGTTCTGGTTAGGCTATCATGTGAGCCCCAATTTCCATTTATGTATGTATGTATGTATGTATGTATGTATTTCTTTTTGATGGTACCGGGGATTGAACTCAGGAGGACCTTGAGCTTGCCAAGGAGGCATTTATTCTACTGAACTCTCTCCCTAGTGCTGAGTCCCAATATTTGCACACTTAAAGGGGATAATTAAAGATATTTGGGCAGCTGTAGCATGAACTTCTCATTTGTGGTTCTCATTTCTTCCAAAACATTTAGATTACCTTCTGGTCAGTAGAGGAAAGATGGCCTAGGTTTTACTCTGAGAGAGTAAATGAAGTGGGGAAAATAAGCAATCAGAGATCATCAAACAGCCCATCCCATTCTGACAAAAAGACAAAAACAATAAGATAAGCCAGCTGTGGTAGGACCTGCCTGTAATCCCAGGACTCTGGAGGCTGAGGCAGGAGGATTGTTGTGAATTTGAGACCAACCTGGGCTACAAAGTGAGCTCAAGGCCATCCTGAACTATTGAGTCACCCAGTCTCAAGAAGACACACACACAAAAAGTCATATTTGAAAAGAGAGAAACCACAGAGGAATGTTCCTATCTGAGCAGCTGTTCAATACTAATAGTGTTAGATAAATCCAGAGAGTGCCTCACCCAAGGAAGACCAGCATTTACCTATCTTCTTGTAGTTGCCTGTCTATTCAGCCTTTGATCTGCTATCCTGCTCATCCCAAAGGACAGGCGGAACCCAAAGAGGATGGGTCTGCTAGGGCTCTGCCTTGCCTGTGACCTTCCAGCTTCAGAGATCCAGGAAGTCAGAGCTGAAGGCAGAATGCTTAAAATGTGGGCTGGGACAAAGGGACTTGCGTCCTACCCCCAAGGTGCCTCCATGTCTATAAAAGGAATTCACCCCATTGCAGAGAAGATTCCATGTAGCTCCTAGGCTTTCTCTTTGGGGAGTTTCCTGTTTCCCACCTTTTTCAGAGGCACTTGGTAAGTGGGACTTGGGCTACTGGACACACAGTGTGGAGCTCAGGCCCCATCCTGATCTCGTGGACACACAGAAACCTGCATGACTGTGGTAGGGATTTCCCAAACATTCAGAACATTTGGAGTCATCTGAGAACTGAGTCTTGTTCAGATCAGAAGGAAAGCACTCCATTTCTAGGTCATTGTCACCTTTCTTATATGACATTTCTCCACTCCACTCTGCCTCACCCTCATTTGTCTCTAACCAGCCAATCATATCTCTTCTCTCCCTTCTTTAAAAGCCTCCCAGCCCCTCTATTTTTTCTTTTATACAGTGCTGGGAATAGAACCCACGGCTTTACCCCTGCTGGGCAAGCATTCTACCACTGAGCTACATCTTCAGGCCTGTAGACTCCCCATTTGATTTCTGGGTCTCACTTGGTGCCTCAAGGCTTTCTGACTTCTTGAACCTCATCTCCTGCCACCCAACCCCCATTCCCTGCCAGTCCTCAGCACCAAGGGCCTTTATGTGTGTGTGGTTCCCTTAGGCCTGGCTTTTCCCACAGTTGGTGGCTTTAGCTCCATCAGGTATGACTTAGATGTCCTGTCCTCAGAGACATCTCTACTCAGGCTAAGAGGCTCCCCAGCACACTGTTATGTCCTTGCTTGCTTATCTTCTCAGTACTTAGCACTGCCAGAAACTATTTCTGTACTTGTGACCTTTATGCCTCTGTCTCCAAATAAGGTGCATTTGTGGGAGGGTTGATCTGTTCTGGCTGTGTGTCCAGCAGCCAGAATTGTGTCTACTGATAATCATTGGCTGCCTAGAGAGGTGTGCTCAGCCCCTGTCAGCACCTCTCTGCTTATAGAGCAGCCTCTTCTACCATCCTCCTGACTTGGGACCCTCTTGAAGGGCAATAGGTGGCATCTCCCATTAGCCAGCAAGAGTTTTAAACCATTTTTCTTTATTTTTAATATTTTTTTTGGCAGAACCAGGGATTAAACTCAGGCCCTTGTGCTTGCCAGGGAAGTGCTTATTCCACTGAGCATCTCCCTGGCCCCTAAACCATTTTTCTTAACAACATCAGATAAGCAAGTTAATGGCCACTAGTACACAAAGAAATATATTTAAAATATATATATATTTTAGAGGAAGTTTATTTTTTTGTTTTTGGTGTTGAGGACTAAACCCAGGGCTTCCAGCTTACTAGGCAAGCATTCTACAGCTGAGCCAACCCCCCAGCCTCAAAACAATGTGTACTTTAAAATCATGACTACTTTATCAGGATCTCTCTCTCTCTCTCTCTCTCTCTCTCTCTCTCTCTCTCTCTCTCTCTCTC